CCCTCAGCTGGTTTGGAAGTTTCAGAATTCTAGGTTTTCAACTACCAACTACCTGAACTCATCACTAGGTTTTCAACTTTGTTCTGACCGAACCCCGTGCTTCAAGAAAAACCCTCCAGCTCTTAGGATCTCCTCAACACCTTCGGTTATTTTATCCATAGAAGAAAAAAAAAAGAATTATTTGTGCAAAAAGCTGATTGCTAAGTTACGCTCCCAACAGATGACAGGTGCGTCACAACGCGCGTCATGAGCCGTCACAAGAGAGCACCAGAATTCAAATAAACAATATTCAGTGTATCTTTGACTTTTTTTTAGTGGATGGTCTCATTCTGTTTGTAACACTGTATGCTACAAAACCATGCTGTTTTTTACAACCAAGACGCAGTTTTTTGAGCGTAAGTTATTCCATAACAAATACAAATACAATAACTGTCCCCGAAGAAATGAGACGTAAACAAAGGAATTACCATCCATATTACAACGTTATTGCTTCATTGGACTAAAAGTGCTCTATGAGATGTTGTTCAGTGGACCCTTACCTTTCTAACTAAACCGGGATTTACAGCAGTGGATGTGTTTAAGACTCGTTATTACGATTTGCTAAAAGATCATATAAAGGAGTTTCTCTAAATTAATATATCTTGTGATGTAGACCCTCAAATATTGTGGGAAATGACGAAGTGTGCAATACGAGGATTCTGTATATCTTTTTTTTCTGCTCTTGCCAAAGCGAAAAACCGGCCAATTTACACAATTAGAAAGTAAGATTCAATTATTACAAAACTTACAAAAACAAAATTTTTCTGATGAACAAGCTACACGATTGTCCTCTTTGAAAGAGGAATATGACTTACTTTCACAATCAAAGGCAGAGTTTATTTTACATAGGACGAGGCAAAAATATTATTTTGAATCGGAGAGACCTAGCCACTTATTGGAGAGAGAATGTGAGTCTAAGGCATACATCAGCGCAATAAAATCTTCGGATGATCGTGTAACCACAAATCCTATGATAATGAACATATTTTAAGGTTTTTACACAAATCTGCATGAAACCGAAACCAATTTTGATGAGTCAGTCTGTAAAGAGTACACATATGGGTAAAGACTCTTTGGAGGCCCCGTTAAGTTTGGAGGAGCTCCATGAAGCACTAAAAAGCCTTCAGAAGGGCAAGACACCAGGCTTAGATGGCCTCCCTCCTGAATTATATTTAGAAATATGGGATGTTTTAGGGACTCTCATGGTTGATTCATTTAATTTTGCAATTGAGCATGGTACATTTCATAGAGACCAAAAAACATCTTTGATATCATTGCTTCTTAAATAGGGTAAAGCTCCGTTAGATTGCTCCAACTACAGACCAGTATCACTCATCCCATGCGATCTAAAAGTTTATGCTAAAACTCTTGCCTCTCGCATGGAGAAAGTAATCCATAGCTTAATCAAAGAGGACCAAACCGGTTTTATTAAGGGGCGTCACACGTCCGATAATATGCGTCGACTGTTTCATGTATTTGATTTTGCAGACTCTCTTCCGAGTCCTTGTGCGTTTTTTTCACTTGACGTAGAAAAAGCCTTTGACAGGCTAGAGTGGAACTATATGTGGGCAGTTCTACAATGTTTTGGTTTCGGTGAACATTATATTTCTATGATTAAGACACTTTACCACTCAGCTGAGGCATCAGTCTTAACTGGTAATATCGAAGCTGACAAGGTTAAACCACATAGGCTCCAAGATATTCTATTTGCTGGCACAGGAAATAAAAATTATAAATATAAATTTGGCCTGGTTGTGGCCAATTCTATTAGGATCTGGAAAAGGGTGGAACGTATGATGGAAGGACCTTTCAAATTTTGTAACAACACACCCTTATGGCACAACTTTAATTTTTTTATGTGGAAATCGGCCATTTATCCAGCCCTCTTGGTCTACATTGGGCATAAACACTTGTGGTGACTTATATGATAACCAAGGACTCTGCTCATTTCAAGAACTAAGAACTAAGTTTTGTTTACCAGCATTATCATATTTTGTCTTTTTGAAGGCTGTCCCTAGGGCTGGGAATCGATTCCATCAAGGGGATTCGACTCCTCATTCAGAGCCTTTTTCAGTTCAACAAAGCTTAACTATGGGTGCCTCTCTTTAATGAACCAGTTCAAAAAAAGAAAAGAAAAAAACGATTCAGAGGTTATTTTACGGTGGATCTGGCTTGTCCACAATTTTGAGCGCTGCACGACAGAATAGATCATGACGTCATCGAGGATCTTGATCTTATTTCCATCTAAAATACTATTTTTTAAAACATTTCTATCAGCCGATGATAATTATAAAAGAAACCGTCCCGAGCATAGATCAGTGGCCGAGAGCGCATGCGATGAAGGCTGTCCCTAGGGCTGGGAATCGATTCCATCAAGGGGAATCGACTCCTCATTCAGAGCCTTTTTCAGTTCAACAAAGCTTATCTATGGGTGCCTCTCAAACGGAAGGCTACATCCTACGAAGGCTGCACACATTTAAATTCACGAAAATAAACTGAAAGGAAACGAGACGGTACTAAGATCATCTGAATTTTAGGATGCAGCCTTCCGTTTGAAAAGCACCATTCACCTCACTCACGCTCGCTAAAAGCCGTAATTATGAGAGTTGTGAGAGAAAAGATAATTTAAATTTTTATATTTTTATTACCATTCGCCTCCCTCATGCTCGCTAAAAGTGATTAGAAGTCTGATTAGTTTCCTGATTCGGATAGATAGTTTTAATGAACCAGTTCAAAAAAAGAAAAGAAAAAAACGATTCAGAGGTTATTTTACGGTGGATCTGGCTTGTCCACAATTTTGAGCGCTGCACGACAGAATAGATCATGACGTCATCGAGGATCTTGATCTTATTTCCATCTAAAATACTATTTTTTAAAACATTTCTATCAGCCGATGATAATTATAAAAGAAACCGTCCCGAGCATAGATCAGTGGCCGAGAGCGCATTTGATTGACAGATAAACCACAAGCTCTATCAGTTATTGTTAATATTCTGGTTATTTTGTTTCAGTGTACAGTTTGTTAATATTGTGCAAAGCATACATTCAAAGTAAGCTTCATCATTCAGCTGAACTGTGCACATTTATTTTAGACACTTCATGTCTTGTTTAATTCGTGTGATAAACACATGTCCCTGCTGAGTTGTGGGCTATGACTAATTTCACGGGCAAAGCAGACAAAATTACAATTTAGGCCTACGTATCGTCTTTGTTTTTTTACAAATAAAGCTTCATATTATGAGAAGGATACATTCTATGGCCTATTCTGCAGTCATCATGGTGAGATTAGGTTCCTTCAATCTAAAAAAACAAGAATCGAAAAAGAATCGAAAACAACAGTGAGGAATCGATTCCAGAACCAGGAATCGGAATCGGACTTGACTCCAAAAATTTCGGAATCTAACAGCCCTACTGTCCCAATTCAAAGACCGCGTCCTATGAAGGCTGCATTTGAAGGCCGATTGCATCACGGCGTCAGGGGTCAGGGGTCTTAAAAATGTGAACAGATTGATTTATTAGGTGGTCTGAGGCAAAAGTTCTTGTATTTATTAAATTGAGGGCTGAATTTGATAATTCCTGTAGGCTACTTGGGACAAGAACTCTGCCATTGTGGCTCGGAGGTAAGGCATTACCCATCTGCAATATTTCCACTAGGACCTCTTGTGTTCACAACAATTAGCCCTCACCCATATATAAAGCCCACAACAATAAGACAAGTAGGCCTATAAGGCTACTTAATAAGTAGACAAGTCTTTCACTTGTATTTTTATTTTATTTCATTTTTTATTTTTATTTATTTTGTAGCAAGATATGTCCACAAATGTTTTAGGCAAACTTGATGATCCAGAAATATGATTTTTGAAGTATTTTGTATGCACGTCCTGCTGTCATATTTTCTAACCTTAAGATTGCAGCCCTGTCTTAATAATTTTCTTTCCTTTTTCTCTTCTTTTAGG